TGAAATAATTACTAATAGTTTATATTAATAAATTCAATAGAATTGTTTGAGGACTGAATCAAATAGTGCGAACTGCTATACCATACCATGTTTGATAAATGTATGTGAAGACAATGATTGCACTCATTCTAAAAAAAATATATACAAAATTATAAATATAGTGCAAATGAGAGTTGTCCTGAAACCATTTATCAGTATTACATATACAATTACTTACCATCACATTTTCTTATATTTTCAGCTACCCCGGAGTAGTTTATTCAATAATTTATGTAATATTTCAACAATGGCAAAAGGTTATACATATTGTATGTATAATGTGCACACTTAATAATTTAAGTATTATAAAATTCCATAGGTGAAAAGCAAAACTAATTCCTTGAAATTTAGTTTACTTTATGTTCAACTTTTAATTTTTATTTTAATCCAGTCAAGTTTTCATAACCATTCTTTTCATAATGCGGTTTTGTTTTTAATAAAATGTTCAAAAAATTTTCTGGAATTTTAAAAACGTTTTAATTAATAATTTTTTTTCCTTATATTTTGATTTTTTTTTTGTTTTTTCATAATACATTAAGTCCTCATCAAATAAATCACTGTTAATATTTTGAAATGAAAAGATAATGGGGGATTAAAAGGGATCTAAAGTATTCATATTCATATATGTAGGTATGTAGGTAGTTTTTTTTTGCTTTGGTTGATATCCTTGTTAGGTACAAATTCAAAAACCTCAAACTTTGAAATTTTTTTGTTGCTCGGGATTTTGGTTTATAAAAATTTATTTAGTTTTTTTTTCTTTTTAGATTATACTTGGTGTTCCTCAAGAATTCAAAAGTTTAAACAAAAGTTTGTTGGATAATCCAAGAGGTTTTAGAGGTTTTTTATAGAAGATCATACTTACATACATATATGAAATGTGTCATTTAAGATTCCTATAGGAAAAACTAACAATCTTTGTCGTAAAAAATGACGAAGGTTACTCAAAGAGACTTTTGAAATTAAAATATTTTTATTTTCTATTTGAATTTTAATTTGATAAAAATACGTTTCCATTTTGAGTTTTTTCAAATTACACAGGTCTGTATGAAAACCACAAAATTTGCATGTTTGTTTGAAATCCCATAAAAAACTGGTTATTTAACGTTTTCTTCTTTGCTAAAATTTTGAAATTTCTATGCAAAATATTTATCACTTCCATCGAAACCATAAATATTTATGTATATAATAGGTTGGCGATTACCAATCACTCCGTTTAATATCCTTTGATCGAAATGTGTCCAAAAATGTGTAATTTTAAAAAGGTTGTGGCAATTAAGCTATAGTTATTTATACATTTATACTCACATATCAAATAATTATACGCCAATTTTTCCATCAAGTGCATAATCCCTCCTGGCCTCTCTATGTTCCGTTATGTAGAATATCAGCATGTTTTCTTTCTAATTTAGGCATTTCCAGAGATTGTTTATTCAATATATTTTTAAGTCAAAGACTTACAAATAATACAAAAACTAAAAAGTATAATAACAGACCATTGAACAACTGTAAATTGTAAATGACACAGCACAAATTTCAATGAGTTTATTCTAGGAAAATATGTGTTCACATTTACTAGTTTTGTAAAATTAAATTTTTCTTTTGTATAAAGCCCGGTTTCCACTAAGCGAGTTCGAGTATATTATAAAAGTATATGGAGACTTATTTAGTTTTAAAAATATTGTCAATACAACCGAGCTATGCTATTACTCGGTCTTTACATCAGTCTGGTTAGAGTGTAAAATATTTCTTATATTACATACATTCATATGACATCTGATTTGACATATTTTTATATAAATTTTCCGGTGCTGTCAAAGTTTCAATTTCGTATAGAATCTTTTTTTTTAACTGGATTTCATTACATATATGTGTGAGTATGCACCTGAATTACGCTTAAAAATTTTTAATAGTAACTTAAATTTACCATAATCTATTCCATAATCTCTTAATATTATTTTTAAAGTTAATACAGATGTCTATGCAGACGTATGTATATACATTTGTATATTTACATAATATAAGCCCAAAAATTTCTAATAATGATATCCTTTAAGTTAATAAATTCTTATATTGGCTTTTTATTAGTACTCTGTAATTTCCTTACCGTTCTATATTCACATTTATTCAGAAATTTATTCTACCTTTTTATTAGTACGCATTTCATATACATATATAAATATGTATTCAAATATGTATTTTATATGTATTCAAATATGTATTTTATACCGTAAATATTTAGATAAAGTTTTCAATAGCAATTTTTCTCGAAATTTTTGAATGTCTTTGTAGAAAATAATGTTTGAATGTTAAAAAACTTCCAAAATTAAAAATTCTAGATTATAATGGTATTGCTCTAAGAGTGTCATACACGCATTGATTCAATGTGTGTAATTCAACCAGATACTCGTATACAAACCATTTTGGGAAAATTGGGGAACCACAGTCGAAATCAAAACTAAGTATTTGGAAAAAACTAAAAACTCAACTTGTACAACCTTTCATATACTAATTAATCTAAAATATTCCAATTAAAACAAAATGCCATTGGCATATCTGGCAAAACAAAAAAATGTTAGTTCAATTTTTAACCACCCTTTTTTCTTTTTCTTTTTTTAAAAAAAAATTACGATTTTCTATTTTTAGAATTTAAGAACGAACAAAATATATACAATACTATATTGACATATACATAAACACAACTTACCGTACACTACAGCTAACAGACATTGCACACCATCTATACTTTGAATATTAAACGATAATCCTTTTTAAGGTTTATATTTTTCGTTCTTCATTTTCCTTTTGTTTTTCATTTGTTTGTTATTTTACAGTATCACACCAGGATGCAAAGCGTTTAAAATCACAGAAAAACAAACTGAAAAATTCAAATTTGTTATAATAAACGGAAATTGTTTACATATACAAACAGAAATAACAAATAAAAAATATTTTTAGAACTTTATTACCTACCAGTTTTTATCAGTACAAAAATTCTCTGTTTCGTATTTTAGTTTATGTTGCCAAAAAAGGTACAGTACTTAGTATATTTGTACATAATGTTTTTATTATTTTGTCCGGACATTTTTTATATTATGCATAAAAGTTGTACAATGAAATTATTGGCACTATCATAGCGCTAAATAGATATAACAAAAAAAAAACATAAAAAAAACAAAAATTATTTAAATAAAATTCAAATCTAAGGATAAAAAGGTTTGATTTTTTTATTTGCGTTTTTTATTATAAAAACAATGATTATTCTTTTTGAGTCTTTTTATAACCATATAGAGTAAAAGATATCACACAACAAGGGATTAAGGGAATGGTTTGCAAAAAAATTGTATTTTAGTAAGATTATTGCACTAAATTGAAACGTGACAGTTGCTGTTAATATCTACTTCAAATATTATTTGATATAACTTATTCAGTTTGTAGTATAGATATAGTGCAAAACTCAAAATGAGTTCTTTCGAACTTTCCTTATTCGAACAGAAAAATGTATGCTTACATAAGCCGTAAGTCCGTAAGTCGTTTACATAATCTTTAACATTGCAAATTAGTTAGTTTTGAGTAAATTTATACAAATATTTCACGCCGCTGCACAAAAATAAAATCCACTGCATAATTTTCATAACATTTAAATGATCAAATTATTTGTTAGTAAATAATCTACATTTCCAAACATCAGGCAATTGTAAAAAAACAATAATCAAAAGTAAAATGTAAATAAAATTTAACACAACACCTAACAAGAGTAAATAATAAAAAATGTTAAAATAAAGGTTCTAAACACATTCATGGATACTGTAAAATTTAAAGGCATTTAATTTAAACAAAAAATTAAGCGTAAACATGAGAGGTCGCTGAGAAGTCTCAGCGTAGTATGTTTTTATATTCGAAATTATAGTTGTTAATTAATTTTGAATATAGCGAGTCACTTGAAGAAAAATTTTATTCATTATTTTAAAATTAAAATTTATCACACTTTCAATGTTTCTTTGCCATTGAATAAAAAAAAACTTAAACAAAAAATAAAATCAGCGAACGCTTAAAAATGTTTAAAATTCTTTATCAAACAAAATATTTTATTTAATAACCCTAATTATATATGATTGCTTAATTGTTACGAAGCTCTAAAATGACAAAATATTTTTTTTTCATTCTAATTTTTATACTAAATACATACTTATATATATAACATGCTATCAAATTATAGAAATATAGATGTTGTGTACTATATGTATGACGGCCTTTTATGTTATACGTTGAAATAATTTGTTTTAATTATTCAAAGAGAGTAAGTAGGTGATGATACCTTTTATGTAGTTTGAAAAATTGTTAAAAGAAATTTACGTTATTAGCTTATTTTTGATTTTGGTATTTCAGTGACATTTATACACAGTAACGAAAGAAATTATTTTATATAAGTTAAAAGCTTGTTTGAAAATTTTGCAAAAATATTATCAAATATTTGAAATTATAAAAAAATTTCTTTTGAATTTCATTTGAAATGTGTTTATTTTTATCTTCCTTAGATTTCGCTGTTATCTGTTTTGAAATTATATCATTTATTTAGTTATAAATTTGGCCGCCATCGACAGATGAAATTCTAAGATAATTCATAGACGCCATCTCTTATAATTGTTTAAAAACAAACACTCTCCGTGAACAGCGTATATAAAATTATTATTAAGTTAAAATTAAATTATCTTTTATTTTTGTTACTTACATTATTAATAATAATTATTAACAATAATTTTGTAATAATTATTTAGATTAAGTCGATTACAATTCCCTTTTGCAATCGATTAATGAAAAATACTTACTTTTTTTATAAAAACGGCAACACTAATAAAATTTTGAAGCGTCAAGATGAATTTATTTGAAGTTTGTCGATTGTCATTTTCATTAAAATTTTTACAGTTTACCGACGACAGTTTCATAGTCAAGGTTTGGTTGATTTTCAAGTAGAGTTGTTTTTATTTTTTTTTCTTTGATTTTTTTTTCGTGGAAAAATAATTTAAAAATCAAATCATAATCATAAAAACACTCATATAAATCCCAATTAAAAAGGTAGACAAATTTATTTTATTTATTAACTTGCATTATGATTGTGGAGTACAACAACAAGACAAGAAAATAAGGAAGAATATTGGTTGTGAAATTTGCATGTATGTATGTATGCATGTGGGCATAAATGATTTTCATATATAGAACTAAGCGGGTACTTAAACTGGAATTCATTAGCTCATCACGAGAAATAGATTAGCGAACGAATAAGTCATAGTGAAACTTGACAATTTTTTTTTTAGTTTTAGAAATAGTGAAATTGAAAATTTTATAAAGAATTTTTATAATTTTATGAGTTAAAAATATTAAAAGAAAAATAAAAAAATGGGACAAAAAGTTTCTAGAACTGATTTTGAATGGACATATACAGAAGAACCACATGCTACTAGAAGGAAAATTATATTGGAAAAATATCCTCAAATAAAAAAATTATTTGGTTATGATCCATGGTTTAAATGGGTTGCTGGTTCAATGGTTATGGTACAAATTTTAATGTTATTTGTAATGAAAGATCAATCATGGCCAATTATATTTCTTGTTGCATACTTCTTTGGTGGCATAATTAATCATTCATTAATGTTAGCCTGTCATGAAATAGCACATAATTTAGCATTTGGTCACAGTAGACCAATGCATAATCGTTTATTTGGTTTCTTTTGTAATTTACCAATTGGCGTACCAATGTCAGTGTCATTTAGAAAATATCATTTAGAACATCATAGGTGAGTAATCATATTAATTTTTTTGTAGATATATATGTACATGTTTTACGTATATAAAGAAATTACATGAAATTTTCATTTTAATTATATATAATTTATTTTTTATTTTTCAAGTCACGTAATCGATATAAATTTATTGTATGGGTTTCTATATAATGCCCGCTCCTAACAATACATGCCTATCTCTGAATATTTTATGTAAATAATTTGATTGATATCGGTCACATTATTTATATAAATAAAATTGTTCTAGTATCATATATTTCTTGAAAAATATTAGTCATAACATAACAATTGTATCAGTAAAACTTATAATTTAACTCATATACTTAGATTTATATCTGCTTTTCTATTGTAATTTTAATTCAAATAGTACAATTTTTATCTTATCACAATTCACAATTAAAAATTATAGAACTTTTTTTTTTGTTTTGTTTAAATGTGTACATGATTTTTAATGAATTTTAGATATCAAGGGGACGATGTTATAGATACAGATATTCCAACTTATCTTGAAGCAAAATTATTTTGTACAAGTTTCGGTAAATTTATATGGGTTATATTGCAACCATTATTTTATATATTTAGACCATTGGTAATAAATCCAAAACCACCAACACAATTAGAAATAATAAATGGCGTTATACAAATAATTTTTGATGCTATAGTTATATACTTTTTTGGATGGAAAGTTTTAGCCTATTTGGTTCTCGGATCATTATTGGCAATGGGTTTACATCCGGTTGCTGGTCATTTCATATCGGAACATTATATGTTTGCAAAAGGTTTCGAAACATATTCATATTATGGACCACTTAATTGGATTACATTTAATGTCGGTTATCATAATGAACATCATGATTTTCCTGCTGTACCTGGTAGTCGTTTACCAGATGTTAAAAAAATTGCACCAGAATTTTATGACACAATGCCACAGCATACAAGGTATGTATTATTATTATATTTATATATAAATATAAATATAATTTTTTTATAATATTTTTTTATCAACACGAATATAGAGATAATTTTTTAAGCTTGGTGTATGTACCTACTTGTTTTAGGAAAAAAAAAGTACAATAATAATGAATTTGTATCGTGTACAGAAAAATATGATTATGTAATTTATAAAAGCAAAATATGAACAATTATATAGATTTGAAATAATGAATGAATAAAATAAATCAAATCAAGTAACGATTTAAAATTCATTTTGATTCATAAGATATTCAATGACATGTTCAAATAACAACTATCCTTATCTTTTGTGATAACAAATGAAAAACAAAGAAAAATGCAATATGTCTCAATTAAACTACAATAGAATTAACAATTTATACAATTTGTTTAATTAATAAAATAATTAATTAAATTGCTTAATTAAAATTATTCTTATTTTTTAGCTGGACTCGTGTACTTTATGATTTTATAATGGATCCTGCTGTCGGCCCATATGCTAGAGTTAAAAGGAAGCAACGTGGTCTTGCATCGTAAATAAGTATGTATATTATTATACTTCATTCATTGTAGTTTTTTTTTTATAAACTCTAGTTATGGAAAATAATAAACTAAAACTAGATATTACATACTGAAAATAAATAGCAAACAGAACCAAACTATTATAATTACATGTAATAAAATAAAAATTCAAATAGACTGTAATAAAAATTATGATGTACAACAAAAAAAAAAAAAAAAATTTAAAAAAGTTAATTCAAAAAAGAAGTTTTTTTTATATTGAAATTTGAATTGATTTCATTATTTTTTTTTTCGTTTTGTTTTTTACGATGCTAAAAAATTTTGTATTAAATTTTTTTAATATAAAATTATAATAATGATTAGTAGTGATATTAGAAATTTCCAAAAAAAAAAAAAATAGAAAATAACTAAATAAGAAAACAGAAGAAAAAGAGGCTTCTTTTTTGAAAACCCACTGATATAATAAAATAGTGTATACATGTTCAATATTAGATGGTAACTATTAAATTAATTCTATATTTTAAATGGTACAGTTCCAATTTTGAAAAATTTAGTAAATTAAAATAAATGAAAATAGTAGAATAAAAAAAAAAAAATAATAATAAAAACATTCATTAAAGCAATTAGCTTAGAAAAGCAAATTTAGATTTAATTAAAATTTTCTTTTTTAATTTCATTTGTCACAGATTTTGTTTTTTTTTAAACAGATTCCTAAGAAAACAAGTGCACGTATTTTTTATTTTCTCAATTTGAATAATAACACAATTTTATTACAAATTAAAAGTATTATCATTTTGTTTTTATTATTATCATTATTATTGTTTTATTATGATTTTGTTAATTATTTATAAAATAAAAGCAAATACTTGTTTTGCTTAATTTATATTTAAAGATAGACAAAAAAAAATATAAGAACTTATACAAAAACTGGAAAATACCTAGATAAATTAAGAAATAAAAATGAAATTTAATTTTTTTTTTCAAATTGATCCCAAATTTGTTTATTATACAAATAATAGGGTTAAATATAATTTTTTATATTCATAGCTAATTGCAATTCATATTTGAAAATAAAAAATTCCTTAAATCAATTCATTGTTAAAAATATAAGCAAAAAAAAAATATCCAACTTTTTTACATGTAATTTAAATTTCATCGATGTTACTCCAATAAGAAATCAAAAAAAAAAAGCTTTTAGGAAAGCAAAAATATTTCTTATTTAAATGTTTAATATTCTAATAATTAATAATTATTTAAATAATTTAAACTCATAAAATAATATTTCAATTTCACAAAATTATTATACTACAAAAAAAAAAAAAAAATTGTTAAAAAATTGTTTTAATTATAATTTCATTTCAGTTGTGTTAATAATTGAAATATGCAGAAAATGCATATAAAATTGTAATACATTTTTTTTTTTCTAAATTGCAGCATTAGTAAACAAATTTTTTAAAATACATAATTGTATAAATTTCAAATACATTAAATAATATCAAAATAATTATTTTAATAATTATTATTTTCTTAAATAATAACATTAATTATTAGCAAAATGTTATTCAAGAAATTTTGTATTTATCATCTTTCTAAATTTACGAGTTTTATTTCAATTATTATTTATAAAATGTTGTAATTTAGAAAAGTAATATACGTACTAAAAGTATATAAGTAAAAAAAAAAAAAAATTATGCCTTAAAAATAATTATATATTGTGTAAAAAAAAAATAAAATAAAAATAACATATACGAATTTATTTTATGTCTTGATTAAATTTATTAATTGATCTAGAATTTGAAATCGATCTTCATGAAAATAAGCATTTATAATATTAAAAATACTTTTCTTTTATTTGTGATCTGGTAAATTATTTCAATGAATTTATAATTTTGTAATTTAATAATTTTCTTTTATATCTTAATTGTAATTTTAATTATAAATATAATTTTTTTTTTTTTTAATATTGTATTAAATATAATTGTAAATTATTTTTAATCAAGACATAAAATTATTAAATTACATAATTTACTTAATTTCTATATACATGCTAACAAGAAAAATCATATAATTTTAAAAATGAAAATTAAAAAATTAAATAAAAAAACTTAAAATTCAAAAACAAAAAGAGTAAATTAATTAGGACAAAAAAATACTCTTAAAAATATTCTTTTTTTACTTCAAAATTTAATTATTTTTTAATCTTAATTTTATTAATAACAAAATTAGATGTATATTGCTGGCCATTCTTAGGAATATTATGGTCATTTTAAGGAGTAGGTATACATTATAACTTCAATTTGTATGAAAATTTTAATTTTTGTTTTTTATAATAACAAAAAATTGAGAAATGTTTTCAACTAAAATCTAATTCAAATTGAATATTGTAAGAATAACTGAATTGATAGTACTTAAAATTCAAAATACTATATTTGTTTACAAAAGAGATTTACAAAGAAAATTAAAAATATAATTAATAATTTATCAAAATTTTCCTTCGATCATAACATTAAAAGCATATTTAAATTCATAATTTTAAAAAAAATTAATTGTCATGAAAAAGTTCTATTAAAATTTTTTTACATTTCAGTTTTAATTAACAATTTTTTCGTTTATTCATTTTATAGTACAAAATATTTTTTTCGTAAACTTGATAAGACATACCTACTCCAGGTGAATTCATCGGCATTGATTAACACCTATTCATCCTTATATCAAAATTTAATACATATATAGAACAAAATTTAAGAAACTAGTTTATATTTTAATAATTTTTACATCTTTAAATGTTTTATTTAAAAATTTTTTCTGAATTATTAAAAAGTAATTATTGTAAAAATGCTTATAATATTCTTTCTAAATTCAATTTATTAATTATTTTGTTCATATTAATAAATTATGAGCAGCTCACATGCATATTATATTATAAAATATTAAAGTAAATATTTTTTGTTATAATACAATGGTTTTGTTACACATATCCCATTTGATAATTATTCAATAATTATTTAATTTATGTTCATTAATTAGTCATTGTAATTTTACATAAAATAATTAATAATTTTTGACTAAAAATTAATAAAACAAAAGAAGAATAAAATTTATAAGAAAAAATTGAACACCTATAAAATTAATTCTAAATTATTTTTAATACTATATATACATTGAAATAGTTATTAAAAAAAAATATATAAAAAATAAAACAATTAAGTTAATAATAACAATAATTATTGATATTTGAGCCAGTGAAGAATTTTTTTAAAATGAAAATTTTGCGATTTCCACAATTTATGCCTTGCTGTATTTAAATAAATTTTTGAATAATAATTACAATGCTTAGTTTTTGTAAAAAAAAAAAGAACAAAAAAATATATAAGGTTTATGTGTATTTAATAACCTTCCAAAAAAAATAAAAATAATAAATAAAAACATTAAAATATACACAGATAAATTTTTAAATTGCAGTTATATGTGTAAAAAAAGAATTAAAATAAAAATGAAAATTATTTCTTTAAATACAAAAAAAAAATTTAAATAAAAAATAAAAATTTTTTGTGAATGTTTATACTGTTATAAATGTTTCAATATATTTGTTTTTTTAATTTTTAAATAATAATGTTTATTAATTTCACAGCGACAGCAGAAATTTAATCAAGGAAAATTTTTTATTTTATTAAAAATCATAAAAAATTAAAATCTTTATTAAAATATTTAAATTTATTTAAATATTAAATTTCAAAAATTTCAATATTATAAATTGTAATTTAGCTTTGTACATTTAGTTTATTCTGTGCTCTTAAGGGTTAAACGAATGTGTACCCGATGTATACAGTTTGTTTTATAATTTGGGCTTTTGAGTTTTTTTAACTCTAGAAATTGAACCCCATCTGTTCGAAAAATGAAGAACTAAATAGATTTTGCAAAAGGCTTCTTTTATTTTAATTTTGGTTTTGATCACTGATTATTAAAATACATTCATTTTGGATCTAAACCTTTAAGTTGTTAGTTTGCTATTCAATGATTAGTTTCATACTGAGGAAGAAATGAGTGGTTTACGACTTCGTTTAGCATGAAATTTTATATCGTAGTATTTCATTGCCAACTGTTGGTTTGTGTTTATAATAATTCAATAATTTTACATGCTAAATCGAAAATTTTTATTATTATTTTTAGTGCTGAGTAGATAAACTACAATTTTTGAGTTAAAAATATTTTTGTAAAAAACAATAGAATTTTATTACAGACACAAATCATGGTTTATGCTTATAATATAAATATAATATAAATTTGGTTTAAATTATTTCCATAATGGCGTTATGATTTTTTTTAAAACCTACTATAATGTAGCAAGGGTCCATTAACCGAAATGGAAAGGTTTCGGTACGGATTGTTTTTTATAATAGAGAATTAAATTCTAAATTTATCTAAAATCATTTAACCTCAATCTTTCTATTTTTTCTCATTAAACTCAACAAATTCGATGCTTAATTCATTTGTAAAAAATGCAACTTGGCGTCTTCTTGTTCCCGTTCATTCACAATTTATATGAACGTTTCCGGATTTTTTTTTTCTTTTGTGTGTTGGTTGGCATCCTATGATTTTTTAAATAAATAAAATATTTTTTTCTCTTTTTTAATATTAATTAATAAATTCTTGTTTTTTTGTGTTTTATTTTTTTTTTTTCGAATGATAAGGTTTTTTGATTAATCGAAAAACAATACTAAATCAAAATCAACTGACAATATTTTTTGACGAATATTCTGTTACTTGGTTACTTTTTTTGTGTTTCTGCTTTTTTTTTTTACTGTGTTAAATTTTAATCTTTTTTAAAGCCATAATTAATTAGAAATGCAAATTTCCTTGATGCTCGGTTTTTTTTTTCTGTTTTGTTAATAATTTCGGTATTTAAGTGGTTTTTGTTTTTTGTTTTACGTTTTTTTTTTTGAAATATTTTTTATTTTTTTGATTTAAATTAATTTAGAAATTTAATAATTTAATACATTTTGTTTAATAATTTAAGAAGACAAAAGAATATGATGACAGCACAAAAAAAAAAAAAGAAATAAACAAAAAAACATCAGGGTTATGTAACATTAAATGATTCGCTTCGAAACCGTTTTGAAAGAAGAAACAAAAAAACTTTAAAATGAAAACAGTGAAATTGCGTTGTTTTCCGTACAGAGTTAGGCGCCAGGCAGTGTTTACTTATACTTATTTCAACTACAACTGTAGTAGCATTAAATTTGAAAATAAAAACTAAAAAAATTTTAAAGGGTACAGTAAAATTAATAAATTTAATGCTTACTATTCCTTTAGGTCAAAATATTAAATTTTAACAATTGGACCTCTTCTGTTAGTAATGGTTCCACTCTATTATATACAAAAGTTTTTTTTTTTCAGAAAAGGTTTGCCATAGAATATTTCCGTTCATTTGATGGAAGAGGAAAGATTTTTTTCTTCAAAAATTTATGTTTTCAATTTCTTTTATTTAATTCTCTCCATCTTTTTTATTTGATCTCTATAAAATACACTATAAATTGCAATACACTCTGAAAGTCTCCAAAATAGGTAAAAATCTACATAATATGTTGCTATTCATTATTGTCTATTCTCCACTATGGTAGACAAAAATCTAGCGGAGTGACTTCTCCTGAACTCTGATGAGGTAAAGTTTAAAATATAAACGAAATTT